AGGTATTTAGAGTTTTTTTTCCTTGTGGGCATGTAGAGTTGATGCTCTTCACTAATTTTTATCTTCCAACTATTTGGTGGCAAAAACACACACACACACACATATTTCTGCATTTAAATTGAATACTTTCAAGTTGGTGGAAGAATAAGAAATCAGCTAGGAAACTTTTTTATTTAGTGGAACTCACCATAATGAATCATCTTCATAAATATGTCCCATACACATGTTCCCATCCGTACTCCTAACCTGGTCTGCTGTGATTTTACAACATAACCCTAGGGGATGCATGTTGCATGTCTGTCTTGTGGCTCTCTAAATTATTGTTCCTTTTAGATTCGTTATACACTATGAAGTAGTTTGAGTGTAAAATTTCAGTTATTCTTGCCCTTTCTTAGAAATGGTTTGTTAGATGTGAGATGGCTCTTTAGAGGTGGCTTTGTAAGTAACCTCATTGGGCCATGCAGCCATGAAAGATTTGTGGTTATTAGCTGGTAGGTTAGGGATAGTTTACGAACTGTTTCTAATTCCATTCAAATTGCTTAATTTCTCTGTTCCCTATAGTTGTGCCGACTTTGTAATTATTAGGGTGTCCCCTTTCTGATTTTACATTCAGATTCTCTTTTGCTTCTCTCCGATTTAAAGTGTTGTGCAACTGAATAACCGGAGTTTGTGGATTTTTTCCTTGTAGGTGGAGCAGTTGCATAAGATTTTCAAGCTTTGTGGCTCACCTTCTGAAGAGTATTGGAGAAAATCAAAGTTGCCTCATGCAACCATATTCAAGCCTCAACAGCCTTACAGACGCTGTGTTGCAGAAACTTTTAAGGACTTCCCTGCACCAGCTTTAGCACTTATGGAGACCCTTCTTTCTATAGACCCTGCAGATCGTGGATCTGCAGCTTCTGCTCTCAAGAGTGAGGTTTGGATCTTAAATTAATTCCTATATCATTTCGTTATGCTGTCATTATTTTGCTGCAGTCTTTTAGTTTTTCATTTAACACCATTCTAGATCTGTGTGTGTGCCAGTGCATGCTTACATGTGCAGTAGATCTTTTTTTTGTGCTTTTATTCTGTTGCCTATGTTGCTTTGGAAACTTCAACTTAACTAGTTGAGTCCTTTTCATAATGTTCTCTTATAGAATCTCTTCTCTTTTTCTGCCATTAACGATGGTAGCTAATTACTAGCTCTGAGAATCATGTCAACCAAACCACCAGATTGCAGCAAGTTTCTTTTGGTTTTCTTATTCTTGACTTGACTATAATTTGAAAATTGTTATAGCCCACATTGATTATTTCAATTGGCAGGAACATTTGTTAACTCTCTTCAGTGTTAGCAACTATTTAGATTGAGAATGATCATGTTTTCATTATGACTTTTTCTACCAAAACTTTGCTTTGGTGTTTTCTCATGTGTTATCATTTTGATCCTTTGTTTTTCACAGTTCTTTACAACTAAACCTCTTCCTTGTGATCCGTCAAGTTTGCCAAAGTATCCTCCAAGCAAAGAGTTTGATGCTAAAGCGCGTGATGAGGAAGCTAGAAGGTGAATATTGTTACACAAAATAGTACCTACTTATTTACTCTTTCTCAATTTATAGTTGGAAGGCACTTGCACCAATTTACATTTACTTATATGTACCATTTAAACTACTTATATTTGCAGCATGAATGGTTCAAGTTCCCAAAAGACACAAAAATATATGCCTAATGATACATGCACTATGAAAATTGAACAAGTCAGGCACATTTGATGCATGATTCCTTTGGGTGAAGCTGTGCTTTTGTGATTTAGCTATGAGCTTCTGACAAGGGGTTGTTGGGCCTTGACATCAAATAAAGGGAAACTAAAAAACTTATCAGCTGTTTGTGCTTAGCACACATCATGGCATGGTTTAAGCTTGGTAATTAATAAGTGAGATCATAAGAGTCTGGACCCTGGAGTTTGCCTAAAGCAACCGAGTTTGTACATATTTTTCTGGTTGGGGTTATATATGGTTATGATAGTCTCATTTCTGAAGTGCATTGGTGTAAAACCATTAATTATTTCTGAGTACATGTTCGTACACTGATGATTATTTGTTGAATTCTGTCTTCTCATTTTCTTAAGATTTAATTTGAGTATTGTGAATCTGATATCAATTTTGGTCCTGTATGTGTAGTTTTTTCCTCTTTTATTTTTACCACTGAAAGTGTGGGTGATGTATATAGTAATAATCTTTTTCCACACATTGGTAGACAAGGAGCAGCAGGGAAGGGCCAAAGGCTTGACCACGAAAGGAGAGGAACAAGAGAGTATCGAGCTGTACCAGCACCTGATGCCAATGCCGAATTAGTCATGTCAATGAAGGTAACCTGAGGTTATTTTAACTAAAAACACTCACTTAACTCCATCCATCATTGATTTATGTTCTAATCGTTAAGCATGACGATTTTTTTTTTTGACAAACAATAGCGTTAGTGGGTTAAATTGTTAAATATTAGGAGGGAGGGGGATCGGTGGGGGTCAAACCAGCACCAGGGTGTATATGCGTTTAGCATGATGATATTTATGCGTTGCCCTTTTGCTTTTTGCATGAACTTGCGGTATTAAAATGACATATTCAATGCACTGTTATTGCAAGGAATCTGTTGGAAATTATCCTCTCCTTTCCTCTTCGATTTCTTCTTTAAAAATCAAGGTTTTTTTTTTTCTTGTCTTTTACTATGAAAAGGGGCTTTTACGGTCCACCCAAATTTTCCCTTGAGTTATATATACCCAAGGCTTGTGTTTTCTACCAATACAATAACTCCACATAACATTGATGGTCTTGTTAATTACAGACTTGCTTTTCTTCAACTATGGAATAATGTATTTTTCCAGTCAGCTGTGAAATAATTTCTTTCACTTATAATCTTGCGTGGTCTCGGGTTCGAGACTTGGGAGCAGCCTCTCCATAAATGGGGGTAAGGCTAGCCGACATTCACCTCTCCCAGACCCTGCGTAAAGCGGGAGCCTTGTGCACTGGGTACGACCTTTTATAATCTTGCGTGGTCTACGTTGCATGTTACAGAAAAGACAAGACAGTTCTAAGAGCCGGAGTGAGAAGTTTAACCCTCATCCAGAAGAAGTTGCTTCTGGCTTTCCAATTGATCCACCTAGGCCATCACAAGCCGTAGACGCAAGTGTAGCACATCATGGACATAATCATAATCGAGCTTCTCATTCAGGGCCATTGGCTCACCGGGCTGCATGGGCCAAGTCTACTAAGAACCCAGATGATCCTCCAAAGGTTTCAACTGGGGTTGACTTGTCAGCAATGTCAGGTTTAGTGGTCGCAAGGAGGAGTATGTTATCTGAGGAACGCAGAAAAAGGTCTAGTTCTTCTCAAATGGAAGTTCCAAAAGCAATAGGCAGGTTTCCAGGCTCCTTCAAGGAGGCATCAGATCCCTTACAACACAATCAAAAGCAGGCCAATGCAGGTTCTCGTCAAAAAGAAGATATTAGAAGCAACAAAGATCCAATTATTGTGAGTAGTTGAACTCATGCCTTTTCCCCTATGATGGGGATTCCTCATTGATTTATAATTTTCTACAAATAACCTTAAGGGTGTGCCTACTGTTTTGATTGTGATTTGTGGTTCAGAAGCTATTCTTTTTGGTTTATGTTTCTTTTTTATTTTTGTTTACTCTTATTGCCTAATACAGCATTCCTTATTTCTGGTTATTTTAGGTTGGTTACGGATCTAAGGGTCACAAAATGCACTACTCAGGTCCGTTGCTAGTACCCTCTGGCAACACGGATCAGATGCTGAAGGACCACGATCTCCAGGTCCAAGAAGCTGTTAGACGAGCACGCCTAGACAAGGCAAAGGTCAGAAAATTCCACGCTGAGGCGAACCAAATATCCACCAATTCATTATTTGTTTCTGGTCGTTGAGGTGGCATAAGTAGAACTGAAAGCAGAGCATCAGCAGCAGATAAAATTGCTGGTTTTCTCTTGTGAAATATGAGTCATACAAAGGTGGGGGTGCTTTTCTTTTTCTGTATAGGAGGGGCACCCATGGAAGAATAGCTGGTGCCCATTTTTAACTAAGTTTATAGCTTAGAACACACGCTCGCTTACTCTCTCACCTGTATCGTTATCATTGTCCCCCCCTTGCTACTGAAAAACATAGCCCATTCATGCAGAGCTTGTTATAAGCCATAAGCTGTAGAGTATGTGGGAAATATGAAAATTGTGTTTTGTGATGTAAAAGCGTAATTTTCCTTGTACTGTTAAAACACCTTTCCCTTTATTTGTTTACTTTTTTGAAGAAAAAAAGAGGGGAAAGGATGAATCTGTTTACTCTTTTGAGTTCAGATTTGTCACTTCCACATGTAATTATGATTACTCCCATTTCGTACGGCTTGACTTGAGTGCTATATGCATCAATAACAGTTGCTGCAGAATTTCCTAGTCCTCCTTTGATTTTAAATAATATTTGATCTTGAGACTACCCTGATGAGTACGTCAAGACTAAGAGTTGCCTAAATTGTTGGGGAGATTGGCACTTTAAGGTTGAAAATTTATCTGGTTGTGTTTGACTAGGCGTTTGCATTTTCCTTTAAACGTTATTCTAATCTAATCTAAAGTACAGGAAGGGAAAATTTTGAACTTCAGTGGGAAATGAGAAGCATATTACTCTAGCCAACTTGGTTACGTTCAGGTCTACTCTTATTGTAGACATTGAAAGACTAAACTTTATAAGGAAATGATTTCCGCACAACATTTTTTGTACCTTGATTCTCCTTCGATTTTTTAATCTAAAGATCATAAATGAATTGGAGTGTGTAAAGAAATGTGCGGAAATCAATTCTCTAAGTCTCTATGTTTGTTCACTCCCGTGTTTTACCACACAAATGTTGACTTGAACAAGTTGGGTTTAATTTAATTTTGTTGCTTTTGGAAGGCAAGGCAAGTTGTAAATATTGACTGCAGGATGATGCAGAAAACTCAAAGCTTGGTGCAGGTGCCATAGAATTCAATGGAGTCCCTTCAATTACTTGTACTATTCCTAACGAACCTCTTTCTCCTCCAATCGAGTTTTGCAGTTGATTTCTCCTTCACTGGTTTCAACTCATCTGATATCTTGCTCTTTGGAAATGCAACAACAGATTCTGGTGTTCTTTCTCTCACAACCAACACCACATTTTCCATTGGCAGAGCTCTCTACAACGCCAAAGTCCCCACAAGGTATCCAAACTCCTTAAACCTTCTGCCTTTCACAACCTCCTTCACCTTTTCCATAACCCCATACAAGGACTCTCTCCCCGGCCATGGGTTCGTCCTTGTTTTCGTTCCCTCTCCCGGCATCCAATCCGCCTCTCCATCCCAACATCTCGGCTTCTTGAATAAAACCAATGACGGTAACCCCAACAACCACGCTTTTGGCGTCGAATTTGATGTGTTCCAAAACGAAGAATTCGGTGATATCAATGATAATCACGTAGGCGTTAACGTCAATTCTCTAACTTCTCTGGCTTCTTACAAAGCTGGATACTGGCTTGGTGAGGGCAGTAACGACACTAACTTGTCTTTCAAGGAAATAAAGAATAGTGGAGACAACTATCAAGCTTGGATTGAGTACTGGAATTACGAGCTCAGAATAACATTGGCTCCTGAAAATGTGAAGAAGCCTGAGCAACCTTTGATTAGGGCTCCTCTTGATCTCTCTGAAGTTTTTCTTGATGAAATGTATGTTGGTTTCACTGCATCAACTGGCCAACTCATTGAAGATCATAAAATTTTGAGCTGGAACTTCAATAATTGAAGCTAGTATAATTTTGAGAGTAGTTCGTCGATATACTCCCTGAACTTGTTGGTCGCTTTCGATTTTCCCCTTGACTGTTTTTAAGAATAATTGCGACTCGAACTATAACAAAAATAGCCAATTATCTCTCTGCTGTTGTATTTCCTACCGTTACAATCAATGTTTATCATGAATTTGTGGGTTGGAAGATTTGTACCTTCATAAATAAGGTTCATGACATGCCTCATCAAGTTGGCTTAATGGAGGCAAGAAATATTTGTTTCTTGTTTTGATTTTGATTAAGTAAAGTTGATGGTATTGTAAGACGATTATATTTCTCAGTTCCTTTTGTGAATGATTTTGTGACTTTATATTTGACATTTTCTTATTAAAGACTATATACTATTATAAATTATTCTAATTTATTAGCGAATTGTTATTAGCATTCCAAAAATCTCATTTGGTAGTCCATACTTTTTATAATTAGAAAGAAAAATACACTTATAAAGAGTGTAAAATGAAATTTTTAGAGTGCTAATAACCGTTTCCATTTACAAAAAAATAAAAAAAATAAATAAAAAATCAAATTCGGTGCAAGAAGATGTGATCGCACTACGTTAGTCAAACTGTACAAATTCAGATTTGTTATGTCTGCCATATTCCAAAGAAGCATTTGTTGCATATGGCCCAAAGGCCACAAAACAGAAGATTTGAATGTTTATGTGTCCAACTAGGGCAGACATGTCCACCACATATAATTCAAACGTGTGTAGTAGGGCAAACATGTATGTCCACCACCCACCTACAATTTTGTTCATCAATTTGATCAATAATGTACACACACAGAAGTCCCTACCAAAAGACCTTTCATTCAAAATAAATAAATAGGAGAAATAAAAAGACCTAAAATGAACTGAAAAAAGACCTAACTGTAAGACCAAAGTCCCAACCTTAAATCCTATTTTTGATCTACATACTAATATTTTTGCATTAAATTTGACTGATTAAATGAAATAATGTTGTCACGGTTGATCTTAAATCAACAATCGATCACATAACATGTCACACGATATGATTAGAGAATATTATTATATGGGATAGGATCATTAACAAATTCCTTTTGGTGCTAATTTTATGCTTATATCCAAAACATTATTATAGGTTGGATAATGTTAGGTAGACCAAATTTTTAAACCAAATTTGCAAACCAAATAATGTGTCACCAATAAGAAATAAGCACGTTAATCAACACTTAAATAATAATCTAATCATCAATAATCACATCATTTGGTTTACAAAGTTTGGTATAAAACTTTGATCTCCCTAGCATTACCTTTATAGGTTTACGGGTTAAACATTTTTTTATCGTAGAATGCAATCAAACTTCTCATTCTATCTTCTCAACATGCAATGATGTACGATGATTCGAACTGTTCATTTTCTTGGTCACCTCTTTAAACATCATCTCTTCAAAACTTAATTGAAACCAAAATTGTTTACTCACTTAGCAGTTATCCCAATAAATAGACGATCCATTTATCACTTAAATATTGAAAACATTGTTCAAACAGTTAAATGATTTCTAATTAGGTTTTTTTTTTTTTTTTTGCAAAGTTAATCTTAAAAGGGTTAGGCTTCAATGCTAGAGGAGACTCGTTCGAGATGCATTTGACCGACTGCGAGGGTTATATGTTGACTTGTATGCTTCAGTTCCCACATAACCGACCTTATTTCCTTGTATTTCAATGAAAAACTTCTCGTGTTTTCTTTGCCCTTTTTTTTGCTAACGAAATTATAGGGTGATCTAGAAATTAAAGAGTTTTAATCATCAATAGCATTGCAAGATAAAAAGAAAGTCGAAAACATACAATGAGAATGTTCGAGTGAAAAAATTGCTAGCATATCCTTTTTCGATACACTTCTTCCTTTAATAATCCCAAATTTGGGTAACTTTAATAATCTCTATGAGACCTGAGTTAGAATATGATTTATTTTTTTTAGGTTGGAAGTTCAAATTTGATGCTTAAACAACAAACAGTTAAATGGATGGATTACTGACTACTGAGCTCTAAATCTAATCAAATTATCTACATTATCCGTTCTAGTAGGTATCTAGAATTTGAGGACATGTACATGTGCCAAACATGTTAAATGTTGGGTACCTTTCAAGAGAGGCTCTGTGGTGGGACAAAATGTTTTTTCAGTTTTTATATTTTTGTAAATTATTTATGAAATCTCATTTGATAATTATTTTTAGCTTTAAAAAAAATTGAAAACCAAATCTTGAAAACTCAAGTACAAATTTTGAAAATCCAAGAGAGTAGTTTTTAGTTTTTATTTTTTTATTTTTTTATTTTTAATAACCAAAAGTAGCTATTAAAATAATATTTCGGTTTTTTATTTTTTTAAATGTAAAAATTGAAAACGAAATGGTTTCATTAAGGTATAATTTTTCCTAAAGATAAATCACACACATGCATGCTTTTATAATCGTGATATTTCCGTTGCGGTTTGCATAGTGTAAGAGTGATTAAATAAAATATGGACACACATATGCTTTATAATTTTTTAATACAATAATTATGTGTATCTTTATATTAAGGAGTAAGAGTATGAAAATACAGAATGACTATCTATAATAATTTGGTTTAAACTCGTCATTCCTAATAGTAGAGTTTAAGATCTCCCACTTATATGCTTATAATTAACATTTTCATTCCAAAAGTGAGAGTGATTAAATATGGACATCGTTTGGTCATTTCTCTTTTAATGACGGTGTGACATTCTTTCATCGTACAAACATTATAATCAAATTTCAATATATCACAAGTGACGGTTCATCTTGAGAATGTTACTTGTTAACATAATCGTCGATTTGTTGGACACATGGATGACTACATGGTCTCTAAATTGAATGAATCTTCTAAAGATGATATGCTAATAAAGATAATGAACAATTTTGATTATAACGTTTATACGATAAAATGATGTCACGTCATCATTAAAGAAAGAGTAGCTCAAGCCATAGTCTAAGCTAATTATCATAAAGGGTTGAGACTACAAGTACGAAAATATGGTAATGACAATATATCATGAATTTCCTACTAAAACCAAGGAATCTGCAATGTTTGATATATGCATGAATATGGGAAGATGACAATATGCAATTACTACCGATGCAAAAAGGGCCACAACTCTCAGTCTCAGCCAACTTACAAGAAACAAGTATTTCTCATTCAAGTGCTTTTACAATTTGTCACAGCATAACTTTCTCCAAAAAGCATGTACTTTAAGATAATATCTCACATATATGAAGAGAGGCTTCAATTAATGACAAGTAACACAGCACAGAAAACTTCAGTGATGATAAAAAACTTGCTACTTTGATTCCACCACACAATTTATATCTTCATTACCAAAAATAAAGCCCATAACTTCAAATTCAACTTCTACAAATGCAAGCATAAATATCTAGAGTGAAGAACAAACGAAAGTATTAATCAAGTATACAGATTTGAAACATGTATTAGATATTCATTGAAGAATGCTAACAATACTCAACATTTCCGTCAGGGGGGTCCAAAATGCATTATGAACCCTAAATGCATCAACAGTCAAAATTAACTCATGCATGTGTGGACGTCCCAATCTTATATTTAGTTGTATTAGTTGTGAACATGTTGAGTTTTGTGGTGGTTATGGTCTTTAGGAATAGTAAGGCCATCTCCAACTGAGGATTGGCTAGAGGGCTCGTTTTCGCTCTCTGACCCTCTAAGATATTAATATTTTAATGAACAGTACATGGCCATATTTGCCTTTGTCTCCAACTGAGGGCCAAAGGGCCATATGGCTTGTTTTAGCTCTGTCACAAAAAATCGTCTCCAACCGAAGGCCAAAGGGCCAAACATAATTTATTATTTAAATTTAAAAACTACAACAACTTAAATTCAAAAACTACAACTTCTATTTAAAAACTACAATTAAATTTAAAAACGACAAATTAAATTTAAAAACTACAAATAAAATTTAAAAACAACATTAACTTGAATTTAAAAACTACAAAACTTAAATTCAAATCCAACGGCTAAGTGACATCATGGTGGGCAACACTTGTCCAAGCAATTCCAAACCCTAGGAATGACGTAGAAAAGTTGTTTACCTTACACCAAGAGGCATACCGGAAAGATGTTGAGAGAGCTTTTGGTATTCTACAAGCACAGTGGAAGATCATTAGCAAACTGGCAAGAGGGTGGAGTCGAGAAAATTTGGACTCCATCATGATGTCTTGCATCATATTACACAATATGATAGTGAAGGATGAGCGAGATGAGTATATTGATGAAGAGTCCGATGACGACCAAGAAGATCCAAATAGGTCAAAAAGGACTCGTGCAAAAATATATGATGTGCCTAATTTGTCTTTCAATCCAAGAACTGGTAGTATCTCTATAAATGAGTACATGAAGCGCTATAGAATGATACGTTATCGTGCCACAAACAAGTACCTACAACAGGATCTTGTTGCATATCTTTGAGCCAAAAGAAGCATGGAGTAGGCGTTTAAGTTTTATGTTGTTAAATGTTTTTTTATGTTCTATAATTTGTATGTTGGTTAATGTTATTTAATGTTGTTTCATATTGTTTAATGTTGTTTCATGTTACTTAATTTAATTTAATGTTGTATAATGGATTAGGAAGTTATAGGAAAAAAAATATAATTTAAAAACAATATGAAACAAATTTTGTAAAATAGAAGTTATAGGAAAAAAAATATAATTTAAAAAAATATGAAACAAATTTTGTGAAATAGAAGTTATAGAAAAAATAGAATTTAAAATAAAATAAAACAAATTTTGTGAAATAGAAGTTATAGGAAAAAATGGAATTTAAAAAAAATATGAAACAAATTTTGTAAAATAAAAGTTTTAGGAAAAAAATAGAATTTAAAAAAAATATGAAACAAATGTTGTAAAATAAAAGTTATAGAAAAAAATAGAATTTAAAAAAAATATGAAAAATAG